TATAAATAACCACACAGTTTGAATCAGATTCGGGTTAGGTTACTTAATTTTAAAGCGCTTGACCTTACTTCGACCTCAATATCATCATTATTTTTCAACACAAGATTAAATCGAATGATTTCTCCCAAATTATTAAAAATCTCTTCATCTTTTAATATTTCAAAAAAAAAAACAATCTGTACAATTATCCAAAAACACAATGGAAAATTTATAAAAAATTTTCCCTTAAAATCAAATACTATATACTAGATTTTGAAAAAGATAGAAATAATAATTTGTTTTGCCAAAATGTATCGAAATATGAAAATTGAGTTTTTCTACTTCAAAGATATTCAGATACATTTATTATCATATCTCTGATTGGCCGAATTTCAAATTAAACTCTTTCTACTTTGAGAAGACAGAAAAATTCGAAAAATTCTTTTTTCGAACTATGAAAATTGGATCTTTCCAATTCGAGAATTTATGAAGACTCTAACACTATAGAAACTTTAAAAAAATAAAAAATAATTCAGAAAAATTCGAAAAATTCTTTTTTCGAACTATAAAAATTGGAATTTTCCAATTCGAAAATTTATGGAAACTTTGAGAAGATAAGAAATAATTCAGAAAAAATTTTTTCGAACTATGAAAATTGGATCTTTCTAATTCGAGAATTTATAAAGACTCTAACTTTATGGAAAAGATAATTTTGAGAAGATAAAAAATAATTCAGAAAAATTTTTTTTCGAACTATGAAAATTGGATCTTTCCAATTCGAGAATTTATGGAATCTATGGACTAACTCTATGGAAACTTTGAGAAGATAGAAAATAATTTAAAAATATTCAAAAAATTTTTTTTTCGAAACTGAAAATTGAATATCATAGATTCCTTTCATATGCAATGAAAAATCTGTACATTGAGAAGATATAACAAATAAGAGAAAATAATTTGGAAAATTTATTTTCGAAACAGACGCATCGAATCATACGAAGATCGATGCTTTCCCCAATTTAAGCGCATTTGTTATTAATAGGCGGGTGGCTAGCGAATTGGAGGAAACGTGGACACAAAGGTTAATCAGATGGCGGCCTGTGACCGTACGTTTTCGAGCCCGGGTCGCGATAAAATCGCGCGTGACAGAGATCGATGACAGAAGGACTTCCTAATAAAAGCGGCAACCCCTAGCCCTGCCCTAACATAATTAATCTTCTCGTGTTGGCCACCGCTGGCGTGATCAGTCCTAAAGGTTTTAAGACTCACTCGAAGAAAAGCGCGACACTCGACCAAATTTCCCTCTCGCGTTATTTCTGCGAACTTGAGAAAAAAAAAAAAATTTTTGCGAACCCAGAAATCCAAGTTTTGTTTGTCGAAATCGAAATTTTTTCGCTCTTTAAAAGATAAATCCGACTTTTATGGTTATTAAATAATTTCACTTTTAATTGTTTCGAACTTGAATTAAGCTAGCTCGGTTTCATCTTTCTTTTTTTTTTTTTTTTAAATTAAGTTTGATTGAAAGTTGAATCAAGTTTATA